TCTAGTGCTAGGTTTGAACCAGTAACAGAGCTGAAATGAAATGGCATTCGGTTCAATCCAGTTTAAGGCAACCTGCCTGACTGAGTAATACTTAGCCACTACGTAGTTGTAATGGAGATGCTGGCCAGCCGAAGTGGTTGCTTGAAATGCGTAAAAAAATTTTCGACTTTTGCTGTCTCGCTGTTAACTGTACAAATATTTTGTGCAAAAAATGGCTGTAATTTTACCGAAGTCATCAGGATGTGCTCTACGACACTAGGACAATGTCTTGCAGTATTAAATGTACGATATTTTGTTTCTGAGAGGTGACAAAGCGATCATTTCGGTGGCTAAGAGCTGGAGTTTGAAGGCGAACGACGAATATGAGGCTCAAAGTCATTGTTCACTGCCTTTATACGAGTTATTTTTAGAACGGTCGTGCCATCTGCCACTCCCAAAGTCAAGATCATATAAGTGTTTCCTCATATCGACTGTCACCTCGAAAGAGAACGGCTAATTTTCAGAAAAGCATGACCATGAAACCATTAAAATAAAAGCGTGCCTACTCAGAAGGCGACAAAGAGTTCTTTTTGTGCTACTCTCAGCATGACTCAGTCGACGGTGCGCTAACTCGCAGTCGAAAGAACACCGGCTTGAACTGCCGCCATGACACTGACCTATCATCCTCCTGAAAAAATCGAGTGAGTACTGTTATGCAGAAAGGAAGCAGGAAACTGTTTTCTGTACTTCCCTAGCTGCAGAAACTAGCCGTATCTGGGATCCTGTAGCTGATAAGTGACCTACAAAGCAAACAATATATACGGCACTCCTGATAATAGCTTCGCGAGAGAAATTAGTGCTGCATCGTAAGTTTCTGGAATAAGGGTTCTACAGACACCGCCCATTACAGAAGTGTACAGGAGAACGGTAACTTCACAGCTAAAGCTTTCTTCGTCCACGTTGACGCACCTATCATGGTTGCTGGCTGGGTGAGAGAGCAAATTACTGCTCTACTTACTGATCAGGTTGGCAGCTATATTTGGCTAAGCACTTCGCTGAGAGAGTGCCGCAACTCTTCTGTCTCAGATTTTCAAGATCGTACAGGCCTGAAATGGGCAAGGGTAACGATAAGGGCAAATTTCCGCGAAAAAATGAAAGTCGACTTACGGAGAAACGGAACTTACGCATTGAAACATTTTTCAATTCCGTTAGAAAACCGCAGGAAATTCTGTAACTCTTCGTCCACTACGCCCTTTGCTTTGCTAGAGCACTCGAAGTATTGCTTAATGGCCTCCGGACAGTGTTCTTCAGCTCGAACGGCCAAGCAAATTGTGACGATCAGCGCCTTGATGAACATGTTTACTGGTGGAAATGACTTTTGTAACTTCGGTATAAATATTCTTCTGAACCGGCGACTCTTGATGCTGGTTTCGAAAACACTACTCGGCCGTTTGACAGTAGCAAGTTTCTTTCGCTGTGTATTTGAACTGATTTCCCATTTCGTTGCGAGAAAGAACGAAAACTGGAATGTTGTAGACAGACGCTCTTCAATAGGCCATTTTCGCTGTTTGCGCAACATCGAGTTTTGAAATAAAAGTTGCCCATTGCTTATCGAGCTGCTCGAAAACGTTTTTTTCGATCCCTGGTCACAAAATCCCTGTAATTACTCTCGTAATAAACGGCATACCATATCCCTGTCATTGATAACTTGTGCAGAATTTATTCCGTTATTGAAAACAAACACATTCTGCACTGCTTCTTAACCATAGTTCTGATTATCATGCTTTAAACATAAAGAACTTCCCTTAGCACAAGCTTAGTAGGTCGTGGACAAAAACCAAAGTAAAGGGTTGTACAGGATCATTTGTTTTGACGGAGAGGGTGGAGTGCATTTTGCCTAACCTGTTTTATGAGTGCATAAAAATTAACAGCGTTATTCTTTGCTTACCGATAAACTGCTAGTTTTTACTGCCGCAAGTGAAAATACAATCTCCGTCACTGCGCTGCATAAATCCAGTTAATTGTTTTTTTAAACGACAGTATGGAAAATCGAAATTTGCTTGTAAACCAGAAATACGGAAGTTGATTATTATGTACAAACTAAAACTAAATCGCGATTCAGCTTTTACCGCCAATACCTCAGTTTCACCTTGTTACCGGTAAACTTACACTTAATTCCAAGTCAGAAACCTGTCTTATCCAAATTTAAGTATGCGACATAGCTAGGTACACATAGAGATTTAGGCGGTAATGGAGAAAGCACCACGATTACCTATTTGAGCAGAGGAGGGATGCTATTTGGCATCGTTATGATGCCATAAAATCGTGGCCTGCTTACTTGATCCACTAGGTTACTAAAAGCATAGGGACTCTGGGACTTAACCGGGAAATTTTGACTAGAGGGCGAATGAAGAATGACCGATAAGGCGGCCAGTAAGTTTGACTGGATTTCGACAGTTGTCCATAATCTGTGGAACTCGAATTCTTTTCACTCAAGACTCTAAGAATAAACTTCTAGCAGGTCAGAAGAAACGCCTTAAAGATGGGGTGAGATTTCAAGCAGCTGCTCAACATCTGTCCTCTAGATTTTTCATTTACGACTGTACATTTGCCTGCCAACACTAGAGAATATTTCAGATTCCTCACAAAACGAAAAATTCAAAAAGTCTTGCCATTCCTGAAGGTAAATAGGACTTGCTTTGTGGATCGAATTCCTCTGGAGAAAATTAAGTATAACGATATGGAATAGCTGAAATCTTCAAACATGATTTCATTAGGTGTGGATCTCGAAACGTGTCCCTGAACAATGGAAGTGTAGAATAATTATCTTTATATTTATAGGAGGTCAGACGACCGACTGTTCCAATTATCGTGGAATTAAATCTTTGTCAGCTTCTGGGGAAAATTCTCTTTTGGAATATTTCAAGAAAGGCGGGGGCAGGCAACTGCTGAGAGATTTCATCAAAATTAAGGACGTTTCCAGACGGGCTGCTCCTGCTCTGACCAAATTTTTACCGATTCCACTTCCTTTGTTAATTTCCTTGACTTTAAGCGTGCATTTG